GTATTGGAACTTTTAAAATACCTTTTCTTACAAACTACTTCACGTATAGGATTTTTAAAATATTGTGCTTTTCCTTATATACCTTTTATCGAATTTTAAATATGCTGTAAAAAAACCCAAAACTGAATTTTGGGTGCAGAATGCTTTACCAGTCATTACGTTGCCCTTCAGCATACTTGCCTGAATCTCAAGTTAACAAGTATTTGCTTTGTAATTTGATGAAGGAAGCATGTCTTCCTTCCTTATATTCTCTTATTATGTAATTTTAAAAGTCTCATTTATATAAGGCGATATTTACCAATAATATGGTCCGTTCTTGTGTTGATAGGTTCTCCTTTCATGTATAAATTACTCTTTTTGGTAGAACTGTTATGCAGTGTTTGCTGTGTAATAAGTGTAGGAGCAGGATAATTGGTTCATGCAGAGCTGCATGCTACCCAGCCTGACTGCGTCTAGTATCCAAGCTAGTTTCAGTTTCCTTATGCCTGGTCTACAGCAAAGTCTGGCCTGTGGGCTGGATCTGGCCGGCAGTGTGCTCCATCTCCCAGCAGCCGCTGTCCACGTGGCTCCAGTTTCAGTGGAGACCTCAGCAGCAGCCCTGCTGTGATAACGTGGGGCCAGGGTTTCTGTGGAGACTGGCCCCAGCAGTGCTGGCAGGGCAGGGAGCTGCTCCAGAGCCTGGCTGGGATCTTGTGGCAGTGACCACATGAGCCAGGGCAGAGCTCTGGAAGGGGTGTGCAGGCAGCGGATCGCGGCTCTGCCCCAGCTCCGGACCACACTGTCACCACTGCAGGGAGCCAGGGCAGAGCCACAATCCACTGACTGCATGTCCATGCCCAGAGCGTGCAGGCTGCAGATCACAGGCCCACCCTGTCTCTGGACCCACATGGTCACTCCTGTGAAATCCCAGCCTGATCCCAGAGCAGCTCCCCACCTTGCCACGGATCCTGCCTGCGCTGCTGGGGTGTGGTCTCCATGAAAACCCTGGCCCCACACTCTCACAGCGCAGCTGCTGCTGGGGTCTCCATGAAAACCAGCCCCAGCCATGCGGGCAAGGGCTGGTAGGAAATGGAGTCCAGCTGCCAACTGGATCTGTCATTTTGCCCACCCCTGCTGTAGACTCTATACTCAGAATTTATTAAGAACAGGAGTGGGTAAAGCAAGTAGTGTTTACAGTTCCAAATTGTGTCCCTGCAGAGCAGTTTGTGATTGAGACAAAGAGCACTGAATGAAGCAAGAATGGAAGCTCAAGGATCCATTTGGTAATCCATACAGGGGAGCAGGAGGCGCTCAAATATTGTAGTGCTCAGTAGGGCATAGGAACCCATGTAGAATGAATTGACCTCTTATAGGTGAGATTTAAATCCAGAGCCTAGTCATCGTGATTGTTCAGCAAGTAAGTGTCCTTAAGCCAAACATTGTAGAACTCTTTTGGCTTAAATACCTTACTCTTCATTCTTGGGTGTATTGCCTATAATCTGTTGATCAGTGGATTATTTTTTAGGTTTGACTGCCAATTTCAGTAGTGCCACCAACAGCAGAGTTCAGTTCGGTGTCTTGTGGTTTGACCTTACACCTGTGAAGTAGAGCTGTCAATTTGAATGGGAGCAGAAGCAGGCCCTCAGATACAGAATAGTAATATACCAGCAACAACACAAATTTACTTAAAATTGGTAACACATTGTTAATTACATGCCACCTTACTCTTCTGTTTATAATGTTTTACAGGTTGAGCAGCTCAAACAAAAGTCAGACAAGCGACTAAGAAGTGTAAGTATTCTGTGAGGTGCTTGCAATCTGAGGCCATAAACAGACGTCATCCTTGGAGTGGGATCAGCTGGGCCAGGTTGTGTTCTGGCACAGCTGATCTGCTTCATTGGGTGACACAGATGTCACCTGTTGTCCTGTACGGTCAGGCCCCTGCCACTGTATGGGCTTCAGGGACCCGATCCTGCAGGGCAGCTGTGAATGGGGTTGGCCGGTGGCAGTGCAGTACGCACACCTGGGAACCCCTACCTGGAGATGCCTGGGGTATGCCTCTGCAAGCAGGAAACCCAGACACGCACTTTCTGCACTCCAGGGGTCCAGTCCTGCAGGGGACTTCTCAAGGTACACAGAATCAGGTCCCTGAAGCCCTGGGAGATGCAGCCAGAGCAGCTGGAGACAGCTCTAAGTTATCTGCCTTCTTTTGCCATAAAGCAAACCAACATCCACCACACACAAGCAGTACAGATTTTTACCATCTGTTATCCCAGCCACAACTTTAGGCATTTGTGGCACAACAAGGGGCATGGATGTCTGTTTGGATGTCTGTCTGTGCCGTAACATTTTTTTATGGTGCCACAAAGGCAATGTCTTTTTGCAACCTTACATGTTTTTTTGCGATTCTTATTTTTCTTTGTAACGTAAGCTACCCAGTTTAAACTTGTGAAAACAAAGACGTCAGTTTTTCACAAAAAACAAAACATCCTAATTCGGAGTTCCCAACCATCATGTTGGCTGCCGGGCCGTAGCTTCCGCCGCCAGCAGTCACATGCGTGCGGGGTTAAAGTTGGGTGGCAGGGCAGCCCTAGGAGGGAGGCAAGCAGCTCTTTGCGCTCTGTCCCGCTGCCATGGCCACACCTGGCGAGGTGCTGCCTGTGCACCAGGTACTGGGGCCTGCGCCAGGCTGGGCAGGACCCCCCAGCCCCACTCGCGGCTTGGAATCGGGGGATGCAGGCAGGGAAATGGCCAGGATGTAGGATGGGGAGGTGGCTCTGCTGCTTGTTCCTCGGCAAGGCAGCAGAGTCCCTTCTTCCCAGGCAGCCCCAGCTGGGTCCTTCTGGGCCACTGCCTGCGCAGCCCCCTCCCCTGCAGGGAGCCCCAGAGCCCCAACCCAATCTGATCCTTGCAACCCTGCCCCACCCCACCTGGTAAAAATTAGATTTAAATATGGAAATTAGATTGTTTATTGGTCCGCATTATAAAAAGGTTGGGAACCCCTGTTCTAATTAAAATGTATCTGACTTAGTTTGTACTCATTCCTTGGTTTCTAGATAGTAAGAACTTTAATAGCAAGCAGAAGCATGCCACATGCCAGGGTCATGCAAATGTCTCCAGGGTGGTACAAAATATGGATGATTCTACTCTTCATTTTCAAACAGTTAACCCAGGCTTAGGTGTCTTTTTTGACAGCAGCTTTCATCACAGTGCATTTAGATTTCTCAGTATGTTTTTAACTGCTTGGTAGGTTAATGAAAGGGTTTATATGTCCTGGTATTTGTGACAGCCAGAGATTAGACGTGATGAGCTGGGGAGTCTCTTCAGTGCTACATTCCTAACTGGTGTGGTTACGGCAAATAATGGGAAAACTGATACGGACAGAAAACACACACAAGTGCTCTCAGTGGTATACTATCTGTTTAAATTTACAGGTGCGGTACCAAGCGGTAGAAGACTACAGTGGTGCCTGCTGCCCCATGACTAAAGGTGTTAAAACATTCTTCACGACACCCTGCACAGAGGAACCTAGAATTGCACTGAGTAAAGGGGATCTGATTTTAGCCACAAGAGGCTTAAAGTTAGTGGCTTTGCATAATTAAATCTGATTAAGACATTTGTGAGATTAGCCCCTGTGTCTAATGGAATTATTTTTATTTTCTTTTTCAGACACTGGATGTATGGTGAAAGAATTCTTGACTCAACTACTGATGGTACAAAGCAGTTACTTGTAGTTGCTTTCCATTTTCAAATTTGTTCTATAATTGTGTAAAAATATGGCATATGAGACCAGCGTAATATAGTTGGGACAGTCTTTGTCCTTGAAAACTGTAGGTTAAAAAAATGTTCTGTAATTGAAATGTGGGAAATATTTATTGTTTGATGATACGCCGTTTTATATTCTAAAGATCACCTACAAAAATGACCCAGCACATCCATCTAGTTTCTTTTTATTAATAATAATTGATAGGCATGACCAGTTTGATCAACGAGCAATTTAATCAGTCAGGAAAAAGAAAATATCTAGGATGGTGTAAAGAGCATTGGGCAACACCTTGCTAAGTAGAAAGATTTCATGATAATAATGGTGCCTACTCCCATACTGATTTGTCATTTTGTTTTTGCTATTTATAGAATATAAACCTGTTATAACTTAATAAACAAACAGTTATTAAAAAAAGTATAGCATGCAGAATAGACCAGTATGAGATCTAGAACTTGTTATTATTCCTGATTTATGACTTACTCCAAGTCCAAGTTTAACAAATAATTCAGAACACAAAAGTACTGAAGCATTCAGTCTAGTTCAGAAAATGTAATCTTAACAAGCTACATTAGGTTTTACAATAATGTAATTCTGATTCTTCTTACTTTTCTAACCTCCATCTGGACACAATTTCAATTTTTTATGTTCTACTTCAAACAATTAGGAGTTTAATGCTTTACACAGTAGAAAAGCACTTCAGGATTTGTCATTCTAATCATGTTATTCCAAACTCCAGTCTGGGTGGAATGAGGAAGACGCACAGAGTCGCTGGGTGGGGGTTGTTGTGTGTGCACTCTGACATGCAGGCTTAAATACGTTTCCTGGGAAGTCTGAGAGTTCTTAGGGCTAGAAATGCTTTGGCAGTTAACTTTGAGGCACTTTTCGAAACAGCAGTCGTAAACTACTCATCTGAATGAGCAAATGTAAAATTCTCAGTGGCAAAGATTACATTATTCCTGCTGTATGTAGATTTGGTGTAGGAAAAACTAACAGTTGCTCTGTTCTACAGTTAATATAATTTGTCTTGCCTGTAGGTGAAACAAGAGTCAGAGGATGGTTCCCAAGGAATTGCGTGGAAAAGTGTCAGTATGATTCTGAACTGGATCAACCAGTCGATGGAGAAAAGAAAAATAGATAGCCCTTTCACTATTTTTATTAATAAATGAAATTTTCCTTTCAGAACACAATCCATTACTTGAAACCTTGTGTATATTACTTTACATATATGCAATTGGTATATTACAAAAGGGTTTTAATTTCCTCCCGATGTAAAAGTGCTATAGTGCCATGATCTATATTCTTTTTTGTTTTTTTTACACATTTTATAACTGATAAAACCATTCCATGGATGATGCGTTCAAGTTTTTCACCCTAAGGATAGTTTTGATTTCCATTTTATTTTTTTGTTTAAATTAAGAATATTTTTTTTAATTATACCCTGATGGGAGAGGGAGTATTGTTTTAATTTTTCTACAATCGCATCTGCATATGATGCGTGCTGCTTTTCTTTTGTAGCTTATTTTGCTTTGTGTCTCAAATGGCCCCTGAAAATTATAAAATAAATTTCAAATGTAAGTATAGGATTTGGTACCTGCAACTTTTAATAATGTGACTTGCCAATCACAAATAAACACCAATGTGTATTCTGTATGTCTGCTTGTGTATTTTCCAGTGTTCAAACTGCTATAGTGATCAATGTACAGGTGCAGAAAGATGTGGGGATGAAAAAGGCAACTTAATGGTGGTAAGGTTTTAAGAGCCAGAGGCTCAACAGAAGACACAATTTTAGCTCTTAACAATAACTGGTCCCCTTTATGTTCAGATAAAGGAAAAAATTCCAAATAATTAGTGGTGAAAAGTCACAGGGATAGCTGCATTATTTGTGGTCATAGCACCCTTCCTTGTGGGTTGGGGTCTTTGCTATTACCTATAAAAACAATTTGAGATGCATGAGGACAGGCTGAAAGAACTAGGATCGTTGTCTCTGGAAAAAAGACTGAGGGGGAATCTGATGAAGTTTTCTAGTACATGAATTACAGATAAAATGGAGATTAGTCTTTTCTCTGTGGCTTTAGGGGGATAGGACTAGATGCAATGGCCTCAAACTGTTGCAGAGAGAACTGGGGTTGGAGAATAAAAGGACTGAGGCCAGGCTACCTGGATAAGTGGAATTTCCATCCCTGGAAATTTTCAAGAGCTGATTAAGCATATACTTGGCTCTGTTTTAGGTAGGGATGACCTTGGCTTGAGCAGAGAGCTGGACTAGCTGACTTCAGGAGGTCGCTTCCAGTCCTACTTTCCTATGAAGCTATGATCCAAGGGTAGAATTTATGATTCTTTAACGTTAGGCTGTGTGTAGGGCTCTGTATGTCAACTGCTTGTTACCCTGCAAGGCTTAAAGATTTTGGAAACCAGTGACTAATGAGTAACCAACATCTTTTCTAAAAACTTTATTTCTACATTAGTAGAAAAGAGGGGCATCTATACACATACATTGAAGCTGCTCTGATGCATGATGCACAATGTGTCAAAGCAGACTATTAATAGTCTACCGGAGCATGGTAATTACCACGCTCCAGTGGACTCCAGCGTCACATGTATCAGCGTTTCCATGCTGAAAAGTGGCAGCAGGGGTGCTTCAAAGCTCATTTGATGAGCTTTAGCTAAAGCGCCCCCACATACACGTCACCCTCCAGAGCCACTCTAATTAAAGTACCCCCCTACACACCTCCCGGAGCATGTGTATAAACACCCAAGAGCTGTAAAATTGGGTGATCATGTAGGTTAGGCAGGTTAAACTGCTTAGACACAAACATGTAGGTGGGTATAGTCTGGTTCCCCATGTATCCCCCCCAAAAATATTTTAAATGCTGGATGTATTCCCAAGGTTCCTTTTGGTCAAGCTAATTCCATAGGCTGTTGAGGGGTGGTAACAGACAGAGAGTTAATATTTCTGGCATTATCCCTGGGTTGGTAGGTATTTGGGCTATTCTGAACCATCTCTTTCTGTGTGAATCATTCCAGATAAGCATCAGACAGGAAAAGATCAAAGGTAATTTTGGAAACAGAACTAGGCCAACATTCTACTGCAGCAAATTTCTAAGGTACACACCCATGTATTACAATGCGTTCTACTGCAATGACCTACCTCTCTCCTGTTTCTAACAGTGACTAAATGCTGTTGACTTCATCTACTTGATGTCTGCAGAAGAACACCCCAGCATACAGAGGCAAGGTTTACTGGACCTTGCTTCCAACAATGAAGTTTGAGCAGCCTGGGTCAGTCTTCTGCTTGTGTCAGGTGAGGGGGGAGCTTGCACTCACTTCTGTGACTCAGCTACTGTGTTTTCTAAACAGCTCATTTTTGTTAGCTTGCATCTCTAGCTGCCTCCATCTCTAGAAGCAGACTTTGTTGGACAATACAAAAGGTACATGCCACTCAAAGGTGTCACGTTTGTCCTGAGATAAACCATTTGATCCTCAGACAAAGTGCAGTTGTTCAGATGTCCATCTCTATTGTCCTGGTATAGTTCCTAAAAAGCTTCACAGGATAAGTAGTACTGACAGTTTAACTACACCAGGATGTCACAAATTGTGTCTGAACAGTTATCCTGGGATTGCATTGTTGAATCAATGACAGAAAAGTGACAGTCCATTCAGCTGGTCACTAAAACTGATTTAGGAGGGGGCTGTGTGTACAGGGCAATCCTGGGTTATATCTGTCCAGAGATGAATGCAATATCTCTTGCTAGCATAAATTCTCCTGTTAGTAAAATGCAGGTTCTGCCAGCGCTACCATACCAAAGCACCAAGCCGAATTAAAAGGGCAAGCTGTGTGATTAAAAAGTACTCAATCCTGCACTATTGTGAAAAAAAAGTAGCCCTAGATTTTTGTATTGGCCTCATGCTGAATATAAAGTTCATACTTTTCATTGAGTATTTCCAGGTGCATTACCAACTTGAACTGTTTGTTGTTTACATTTACTGGACTCCCCACCTGAAATTCTTTATACGTATGAGATTCACCGAAATGAAAGCAGAGCAGGGAGCACAAATTTTTCAGCAATTCTATGACGTATTTATCTCGCGTGTCCTGAACTTCACCTGTGCTAAATCAGAGAGTTTTCCTGGAAGTATAAAACATGCCTTGTTTTATGAAGATGATGCAAGACAAACCAACTTTTCTGTGTGTTGAGAAAAGTTTAGATCTATTCAGTTTACAGGAAAATTAAATTACAACTGCAAGCATGTCATGGAGTAGTTCTAAAGATGGGCCTGCTACTAAGTCAAATGTAGGATGGGTTTAGGACTTCTAATTAGATTAATCCTTAATGTTCCATTGGATGACAAGAATCTGACTTTGTACTACACAAAAAAGTGTTTTGCAAAGTTTGCTGTCTTTTCCTCCCTCCCTCCCCTATTTCTATATATTAAAACAATAGGGGTTTGTTTAGGTGAGAGCAACCTAGTAGTAATATACCATCCTTTAAATCCCAGCAATGTTCCTGTAGTTAATATTTAAAGCTAAGAGCTGAATGCGTTTATTTTATTTAGGATTTTGGAAGTAATATAAACATGCCTCTGGTGCTAACAATCAGAACTGGAAAGACCAAAATGGAGTTTTTTTAAAACAAAATGGAGTTTTTTCTTCATAGAAAACTGTCAACAAACTCAGTAAGTTTTCTTTGCTTTAGTGCACTAATTAAAATAATCTGCTTGTGGCACAGGGCAGAGACTTCCTGATGGACAGTTTCT